CAATTCATCAATTTGTTCCAAAACCGCTTCTATTGATGCTTTAATCTGGGACAGTTCCTGAGATTTGTCACCTACAAAGAATAGCTCAGTGTGGGAATCTCCCTCACATCCTCTGTGGTGAAGACTGATACAAAGAATTCATTTAGCTTCTTTGCAACGGTCTAGTCTTCCTTGAGCGCTCCTTTAACACATTGATCATCCAGTGGCCTCACTGATTGTTTGGCCGGCTTCCTGCTTCTGATGTACTGCAATTTTTTTTTGTTGCTGTTTAGTTTTTGTCTTTTCCTAGTTGCTCTTCAAATTCTTTTTAGGCCTACTTATTTGTATTTTTACACTCGACTTGCCAGAGTTTAGGCTCCTTTCTATTTTCCTCACTAGGATTTGACTTCCAATTTTTAAAGGATGTCTTTTTGCCTCTAACCACCTCTTTTACTTGGTTGATTAGCCACAGTGGCATTTTTTTGGTCCTCTTACTGTTTTTTTTTTTAATTTTGGGGTATACATTTAGTGTCTATGATGTTTTTAAATAGTTTCCGTTCAGCTTGCATGCATTTCACTTTTGTGACTGTCCTTTTAATTTCCATTTAACTACCTTCCTCATTTTTGTGTAGTTCCCCTTTTTTGAAGTTAAATGCTACTGTGGTGGGTTAAATGCTACAGTGGTGGGTATTTTCCCTCATGCAAGGGTGTTAAATTTAGTTACATTCTGATTGTTATTACTTACAGGTTCAGCTGTATTCACCTCTTAAGCCTGGTCTACACTGGGGGGGGGGGTTCGATCTAAGATACGCAACTTCAGCTACGAGAATAGCATAGCTGAAGTTGACGTATCTTAGATCTACTTAGAATCACTTACTTCGCGTCCTCGTTGCATGGTATCGACGGCTGCCGCTCCCCTGCTTCCGGAGTCGACGGCAGAGTGATCGGGGATCGATTTATCACATCTACACTAGATGCGATAAATCGATCCCCGATAGATCGATCACTACCCCGCCGGTTCGGCGGGTAGCGTAGACGTACCCTTAGATCAGATCATTTGCTTCACTTAGGACTAAATCAAGAATTGCCTGTCCCCTTGTAGCTTTTAAAATGTCATTAAAAAACATAATATATTTTCTCTGAAGTAGCAATTCTGTTTGTTAAAATAATATATTTATATGTAAGGAAATGTTACTAGTTAGGAATTTGTATTATGTATACAATATTGTATCCTAGACTAGACAACCAGCAGGTGTTTGGGAGGAATCATATTTGTTTTTAAGGGTCTTATTCTTGTCTTCAGTTATGTTCCCAGGATGTTGGGGAAAGACAGGATTTTTTAAGAAGGAGATTAATTTAATTAAATACCTCAGATCTCAGTATTTGTATTTTTTTGGAAGCTTTTATGTTTGACTTCTAAATTTATTTCACAATACAAATTTCTTTCTTTACCAAAATAAAATCCCAAGCTGACTTGCTCTTTTTCTGCAATGAAACCACATTTGTGCAATGTCTATACAGGAGTTATTTATTGCCACTTGGCTGTTACATTTTAAACGCTGGCGCTTTTTCCTTTTTTGAGGGGGATTTATCCTGCTCTCTATGCCGCAATAGTGCATATGTATTATGATGCACTGTTTCATTACATAACCACATACACAGACCAACGCCATTCAGTGTACAGATGGACAGAGTGAATGATGCACAGAATTAAAAGAAGAAAAGGGGAACTCTCAGTTTCAGACATTAAATTGGGACTCGGGAGTGCTGGGCCTGTCCCTGGCTTTGCAACATGGACAAGATATCATAATTAGTCTTGGTAGAGTTCAGTTTTTAGTTTTTTAATAATTGTGATGGATAATATTGATGTTTATTTTTAAGCATTTTTATATTTTTGTCCATATACATTTTCACAGTGGGAACACTTCTGGGGGGGTGAGTCAGACAATAGGGGAGGTCAGGCAACAGTTTAATGATGATAGATATTGAGATTCAAAAAGTTAAAGCTTTATAACAATTAAACACAAATGGTCAACATCACATGTCAAAATATACCGAATAAATATCCATAAATTAAACTCTAATAAGTTTGCAAGCTTCATTTTTTCTTACTTTGCCTGTCTGTAAATTTCAATTAGTATTTATGGAAATATTTTTGTTTTTTGTGTGTACAGTGAAATCAATGTTTACTGACATTTGCTGATAAAAATCTAATCCTTCTAAGCCTAATCATAATGTATATGCACAAGGGGGCTTAAGTTAGGTTACATGGTCAATTTAGATCACAACCCTGAGACTTCCTGTGAACAGGCAGCATTCCCTGCCCTCATAGAACCCCATTGAAGATAGTGGGGTTCCACATGGGGACAGAAATTCACCTGCACACAAGAAGGTGCAGGATCAGGGCCTTAATTCTGCTATTTCCTAACTTTTGAGTGTTTGACTTTGCAATCTGAATGCTCTTTTAATGTAGTGTTTTGTATGTAGATATATATACATTATCATTTACGCTGTATGTGTGGGCATAGTCCAAATTTGAATACATGAAATCTCAATTGTCAAGAATTTTAAAAATATTTGAAAGCTATTGAAATTACATGGGTTGCTCAAGAATCTTAATCTTTCCCTTTTAAACTGTGTTAGACCAGATACGTTTTCTTTTTTCTGTGTCATCAGTTATTTTTCTCACTTTTATACAATCATTCATGGTTTCTGTGCTATTTTTGCCTTTTTATAGATGCCTTTGATGCTTCCTTTATACCCATCTTGTTTTTTTTTTTTAACCCCAAAACTATTTTTCCTTTTAGTTTGGTTCTTGTTGTTACCCTTTTTTGTTGCTGTTTGTTGCTAATAGTTCCAATTAGTCATGAGATCCCAGGAGAGTTCACTGACTTGTTCATGCAATTTTCCAGTGATCATAATGAGATTTAAATGAGGAAACTGACAAGGACTCTGGACTAATGTTCAGTTCACTGGTGACAGAATCATGAATCAATCAGATGGACTGCTGACCTATGAAAAGTTGCATTGGTTACATTTAGGTAACTGTGGTAGAATGCATACCAAGACCTTTACTTCTAAGAGTCATGAGTTCACCTTCTAGTTTTAATTAAATGTCAGGATCTAAGTTCTGAAGATCAAAATGATTATTTCTTTCTTTCAAGTGCAGCCAGGAAGGAAGCACTGCATGTGTCTCTCCCCCCCCCCCCCCCCCGCATGAGATAAGGGTTCCTTTTCATCTAAATGTTATGACTTTCCATCCCTGACTTTGAAGACATAAAAATAGTGCATGAAATTTGTTTGGGTATAGAGTGATTTATGATCAGACTGGTGTTTTAACAGAGGAAAAGTAGGTTAATTGCACAACTGCTTAATTTTTCCTTCAAACTATAGGGTTTAAGTTGTTAACCTCATCATCCATCTTTCTTTTGTATTTTTGTAATCACACTAAAAGTTTCAGTAAGATCCAAGGGTTTAAAAAAAATGAATGATTTCTCCATGGGCTTTATTCCCTGAACTATAACTGAGGGAAAGGATTTTCTAAACAGCTTGAGTGATCTGTACGTAGGAATGGACAGGTATGGTATATGTTGGGTGTTGCTTGTATAAAAGGGGGTAATTCCTACAGTGGTTGGTTCACTTGGATATCAAAGGGAAGAAGACGACTTCTGGGAAGAGAAGGAGATTGCAACTCTGGCTCCTTTTCTCTTTCCTTGGCCTCCGACTTTAAAACCTAAGCATCTGTTGCTATGGAAACCCAGGAGCCTGATGCTCAGAGAAGAGGAATTGTAACCCTCTGCCAAAGTAATCACTTTGGACACCAATTGCAGAAACCCCCGTGCCCACTTTAATCGTGTGCACATTTTCTCCTCCATTAGCTGTAAAAGTGCATTAATTAGTGGCCCCATTTAGCCTTGAAATTAACACCGCACAAAGCCCAGGTCGTATTGTTTTGCCCGGTAACTGAACAGTGGTGAGGGTGGTGACACACACAGAGCGAGAACCCCTCACAGTCTTCTTCGCTCCCCACCCCAAGCAGTTCCCATTTGTTTATCGCAGGCTCCTCTGGCGAGGAGCACAGTTCGGGTGGATTTCCACAGAGGGGCGCTGAAGCACGTTTTAATGCAGCAAAATGAATTAATACAAAAATAGTATGAGGCACAATATACCGGATTTAATAAAATAAAATAAATCGTGAAGAGCGTGGGGGCGGGAGCGGGAAAGCCCCCCCATCCTCCGCTCGTTTCAGAAGGATCGCTGCTCATTGCCTGGAGCCAGAAATCAAAGCTCACTGAAACTGGGGAAGCAGCTCGCAGCCAGTGGCATCAGGCGACGCTTTCGTCCTCTCTCCCCTTCTGATTTTTTTTTCCTCCCTGGGAGTTTGCTGTGAGCCGAGCTGGGTTTTCAGGCATAGAAACCTCTCAGTCTCCCTGCTCCCGGCCGCAGAGTGCTGCCTCCCCGGCTGCGATCAGGTGTCTGTTGCTCCTTTTCAAGTTCTTTCCCGAAAAGCCACAGGGAGATGGCTGGAGAGCAGCCCGCCCTTCCTGCCCAGAAGTGCAACGTGCTTTGAATGAGGCTTCCCAGTTTGCAGCCTGCTCCGCTCGCGCGCTCCGTGGCACTCCTGGAATGCGACCTCGGAGACGCCTGCCCATCCCGGGGAGGCACTGACAGCTGGCGATCCACCCGGCTGCCCAGGCACACCCCCCGGACCCGATTTAATACCGATCCTCTCCGGCGCCATTAGCTGGGGTTCGGCGTATCTGGGTGGCTTGCAACCTTGGCTGGTGCAACATTCCCGGGGCCTGTTCTTTGTTTTTTTGGTTTTTTTTTCCCCCCCCCCCCCAATGCTGTTGAAGCCAGGGAGAGAAATAAATATGCGGTCTCCCTCCTCGCTCTGCCCTCCACCCCAGCTCCACTGATGTGCTACGGAGAAGAGCAGAGCTCACCTGTGTGTAGCATGCTGTAACCCCCCCCCCCCACCCCCACCCCCCAAACCCCCCCCCCCCCCCCGCCCTCCCTTGATGGCTTCACTGTACCAGCGATTCGGTGGGAAGATCAACACCTCCCGATCTTTCCCCGCGCCACCCGAGGCGAGTCACCTTCTGGGGGCTCAGTGCACCGAGGAGAACAGCGCTGCCGGCCAGACCGCCCGCCCGTTACAGCAGGAGAGCCGAGCCCGCTTCCAGTACCAGCCCCGGAGTGACGCCGAGGAGGAAGATGTAAGCCCCCAGCCTTGTTTGGGTTTTGCTCTGTTTGTCCGAGTGTGTGTCTCGTGTGTGTGGCCGGAGGTCGCTTGGCTGCCTTCTCTCTGTCTTGATCTGCTCCCCGCTTCCCCGCAAAAACCCAGCGATGGTGCTTTATTAATGGCCATGTAAAGCCCCCAAACCCCCTCGGCTCCCGCTCTCCTGGGGTCTCTGGCAATGAGTGGGATGGGGAAGGTCGGGCTGCTGTGCAACGGGCGTGGGTTGGGTGCGTTTGGAAACCGCCCGTGTGAACGGCACCCATGCCCCTGCGAGTGAGGCTGGAAGTTTTTGCCTGGGGCAGAAGGCTCCGCTTTTGCCCCCTCTTGTCCTTCCTGCCCAGCTCCAGAGCCCTGCCGGGGAGAACTTCGCACCCGACGCGGCCATTTTTGTTTTGGTTTTGCTCGAAACTCCTGGATAATGACACAACACGATGAGACGCGAGCCCCCGGGAACGTGTTGGATGCAAACTTCGCTCCCTGCACGTTCCCTCCCGCCGCGGCTGCGGGGAGTAGCGGTTTCAAAGGGTTTCATTTGCATATTGCCTTAGTAACAAATGACTCATCCAGGCCACTGGCTTGCTGCTGGGACTCCTGGATGGAAAGAGTTAAATCACCTTGGATCGATTGTGCCTAGTTATTTCTTGGGGGGAGATTTACAAAGGGGAGGGCCACGGAAGAAGGTCCAGACAATAAATCAAACAGATAGTTCCCCATGACTAGTTCAGCCTTGTGTGCTATTATATTTGTAAAGGTGTGTGTGTGTGTGTGTGTGTGTGTGTGTGTGTGTGTGTGTAAAAACGGCAAGGGGGAAAGTAGCTGCAATTTTGGAATAATATTTCTATCTATTAAAATACTTATTTTCCCCAAAGGTAGGTTTGGAGCTGTGATCAGTTTTAATGATAGAAATCACTGGTAATAACCCTTATAAGTACCAACTTAGAACGTAGTTTTATGTCTGAATCCCTGTTGAGAGGGGTACTGTAGCCAAGGGAGTTGTGGGGTTTTGGTTTTGCCCTGTTTTTTTCCTTCCATGAAGACTTTTTGTGGCAGGTAAAGCGGACTAAGTTTTTCTAGCAGAGAGGAAAGTTGGTCTCAAATCCTCCGTCAGAATTTCCATTCTGTTCATTCCAAGGGCCAATAGGTAGCTGGAGATGAGTTTACTTTTCCCGGTGACTGGCGAAATCCTCACTAACATCCTAAACACGACACACAATTCCCGGGGGGTGGCGGGACGCACAAACTAAAAGCACCCGAGACTTTTTTTAAGTGTTGATTTGAAAACTTTTCATTCTGAAACAGTATCTCCGGAGGGCTCTCTGTGATGTGACCCTGTAGCGGAAATGTGCCGAAACTTCAGCTCATTGGCCTCTAGGTGTCGCTACGAGAAAGCGAAATTGCTGCTTTCTGTTATTGGTCTCCGGAATATTTTTCTCCTCTGGATTTTGTTTTGTTTGTTTTAAATTTAGCTTGGAGCGTATCTTTATGGGTTTTCAATAGGACAGATGTCTAGAACTGTTTGTCTGATCATCAAAAGCATCGAGCCAAGAAACAAAGGAAATTTAACGTGCAGATGATTTTTGCTGACACTGCTCTAAAAAAACCAAACAAACCCTCTTTTCCAAAGTTAGGCTCATCAGTAGAGTGATCTGTATAACAAAAGTCTGCATTGCAAAGGCCTTTTCCCTTTAAGCGGGGGGCAAATATAGGTTATTTATGTGCACAAACAGTTCAGATTAATTCCAAAACCACGTTGCTAGACTGTAAGGGGATTTATTTTATTTTATGTTTTTAGAAAAAGAACTGTGCCGTTGACTGCGAGAGTTAAGTGCACCATGTCAGGCAGTTAGCGCTTGGGAACTGCAATGCACACGGAATTGATTCATAAGCTTCACATACATTTCCCTAGAGAATCATTCACGTAGTTAAGGTTAAGATGTAACCAGAAAGGAAGTAATGAAATTTGCCTTTAGAGTGACTATTGTAGAAATATACAATGAATATTTCTGACTCAGGTTGGGGTAGGAATAGTTGAGGTAACAACCCTCGGTTTGTTTAGGTCTGTACAGTAAATCGGCGTTAGTTTTTGGAAACTAGTTTTGCTAAGGGTAGGAATAATGAGACACCTTAAAGGTGGTAAAATTTAATTTTGAAAATATATTTTTTCCAAGAAGCAGAGGCACACATTATTCTATACACCCCCTCCCCCGCACGCGCGGGCTCTCACACACTTCCCCATGAGCTCTGGAGAGCTGTGACTTTGGGAGCTGTCCCAGGTCCTGGAGTGATTCAACTCTGCCAGGGAATGAGTCCTTTCTCTCGCTTTGCACTGGGCAATTCAAACGGAAGCTGGTGGCTTTACTGCTCTGTTGTGCCTTCTTGTCAGTCTGGGAAGTGTGCTCAGATATACACTAGGCAGATTTCTGACCTTGGCCATTGAACACTCCTTGTAAACAGAACGTTTTTTTTCCCTTTTGCAACCGAACTGGCTGCTGAATATCTGGATGACAGCGGCAATAAGGCTTTTGCAGGACAAATTAATGCAGCTTTTGGCATAAAATCCCTAAGGGGAAAACAAAATGTGAGGCTGGCACAAGGACAAAACTGGGTGCATGAAGTGCAAAGGTTGTGTGATTTGGTGATATATATTTGCAGAATCTACTTACACTGAAGAGAGAGAATACTGACTGCTGGCAGTTCTATTGAATTGTAGTGGCATATGATATTGCTGTTTGTAATTAGGGGGAGCTTGCCCGTGATTGTATGATAAACCCCTTTTGAGAGAATTAAATCTCTGGTGTAAATTTCACACTGAGGCTGAAACTGAATATTCAAGATATTTTTCCCAGCAGAGGATTTTTTTTCTTTTCCAAATTAATCAGTTCAATAGTTTCTAAGTCAGAGGTAGGAAATACAAAAAAAAGCTTGCGTGTGTGTGTGTGGGGGGATACTTCAATTAAAATATAGCTAAGATTTCTTTTTAAAAACCACTAAATTGTTTTATAATGTGCTTAATAATCAGGCAGATTGAGAGGTTTTTTTTGAAAAGGCTAATCATGATCATAAGGTTCTTATAACTTAAAGATATTTATTCTGCATTCTGTATCATGGATTGGTTTTTATGGGTCAATTATTATCAAGTATTTCTTAAGTATCAATACATTCCCCAGTGCTATACAAGACAGGGATGAAGACGGGTCTGGCCTTTCCAATCCATGCTGTTTATATGCAATATTTCCCCTTTCCTATGTATTACTTTCAGTACTAGAGGAAACTTACGTGTAATTAAAATAAGAAACAAAAACCTGTATTGAAGCAATGCAAAGAGTTTGATTTGTACTCACACAATTAAAAATGAGGAAATGTCAGAGTAAAGATTGAAACTCCTCATCCCACCATGAAGTAGCTGATGAGAGTGAGGTGAGTTTCATCATGGAATTTGAACTTTTATAAATGAAATAACACAGTTGTCTGGATGCAATTGGTATTTTGGCATCTAAACTTCACAGTATTTAATTCTGATAGCTGGTTCTGCACACCAAAAAGAAACAAACATGTTCAGTGATTTGGGGCATCCTGAGAACTTGTGTAAAATATTGATAAGTTTATGACATTTGTTCTTGATTTTGTTATACTTCTGTATCATCCTAAACTAGGTCCCTGATTCAGTTCTCTTTGCACAAGTCAATCTCCCATTGGTTTCAGTGGAAGTACTGAGTTGGCCAGTTATTAAAACTGTAAAAATGACTGGTCATGCAAACATATCCCAGACGACATAATAGTTTTGCTATAAATGTGCCTTTTCAAAGTAATTTATTGGGATATGGTGCAGTACCTGTGAAGAATGTAACCAAAGTCCAGAGTGTTGTAATAGCAGAGTATTAATTTATGTTTTGGCAATATAATCACCTTTATTTCCTCTATGAGATTCATGCTTTCCATATTATCATGTAAACAGGAGATCTTTCTAGATGTTGGCTTTAGACTTTCCCCCCCACATAAAATAGAGCTTTTTCATTTTTCCTAAGCTTTCTTTTCTTTGGAGTCATAGTGATTAATGAGTTTAATTTTTGCAGGCAACTGCCAGGAGGTGCTGAGTAAGATGTACATGCTGATTGTGTATAACCCTGTTCCTTTTAATTACTGTGATGATAACAATGCATTAATCAAGTGCATAAGAAATTGAGCACTTATCTGTAATACAGAATATTGATCTGTTTCATAAGGCATTGACTATTAAAATGATAACCACAGTAATCCTTTTAAAATTAAATTCCTGATGATGAATTATGTGTTAAAGCTTTCTACTGAAGTGTCATATAGATTTTCTGTATAAAGAGCCAAATGCTGCATTCCTTTTTCATTTATTCTTCAGGTAAAACTCCTATTGACCGAATGGGATTTTTTGCCTGAGTAAAGGATTGGATCAAAATAAAGTAGCTCTCATTTTTACTTTGAAATGTGGAATACTTTTCATTCAATTGTATTTTGAATATTTGCCTCGTTTTATAAATTGATGCTAATTTTTAAAAGAAATTTAGCTATATTGTAGTTTTATAATTTTCAATATTGATAATTCAGACTGAGACTATTTTACGAAGTGATCATTTCAGTTGTAAATAGAAGATAAAAAGATCGGAGATTGCTGCTTTGAGAAGTAAATCAAAGGTTACATGTTTTATTATTGTTCAGCTTGTTTGAACAATATTATAAATATTACAGCCCCTGGAAATATTTGACACTTCATATGTCAGATTTGCTAACACATGCAATAAAAGTATTATTTTTCAATCCATTATTTTACTGTTGGAAAAGCTATTGCTTACCAGAAGAGAGTGTCAAGGTCAGTCTTGTATAAAGGGTTATGCAAGAGCTGCAGAACAACTTAAATGTCGGAAATGGCTCAGTCCTTTCCCAAACAGATGAATATTTCTTATTTTATATATTCTGGAGTGGTCATAAATCAGTATAAAGTGAAGT